TTCTTTCTTTCTTTCTTCTCTCTCTCTCTCTCTCTCTCTCTTCTCTCTCTCTCTCTCTTCTTATATATATATATATATATATATATATATTCCCTATTATCTACTTCTGATATATATGTATATATCGCTATAGACTGATCGGCGATTCATGTTTATTGCGTTTAGATTATGCGCTCGACAGTTTCTTCTGCAGCTGTTTCATCATGACGGCGCGCGTCACGTGGTACGGCTTCGCTGGCTTCATGTGAGTCTTCATGAATCGCTTGATCTTGTGAAAACGCCTTCGCGTCTCCGCGTTCCACTTGTGTGCCCGCAGATACATCTTGATTTCGCTCACCGAATTCCTCACGACGTCTTTGCCTGTAGCGGGAAAACCGAAATGTTTATAGAGGGCGTGTCTGTCGATAACAGCGCTGATCGCTCTGTATAGCGACAATGGCGACGTTATACGGGATGCGCTGTTGCATAGGAAGGCCTGCTTTTAATGCTTGCCTGAAATAGGAACTGTTTGTCTATTCGCTAGTTTTGAAAATATTGAATTAATCGTTTATTTTTGATTATTTTCTTTTAGTTTGCACTGTCGTGCGTGCGTGCAGTACACATGCGTGCGTGCGGTACACATGCGCGCGCGCGTGTGTGTGTACGTGTGTGTGCGTGCGTGCGTGTGTGCGGTACACATGCGCGCGCGCGTGTGTGTATGTGTGTGTGCGTGCGTGCGTGTGTGCGTGCGTGCGGTACACATGTGCGTGCGCGCGAACGTGTATTATGCTGGCGTCTTTTGCTTGCCTTGCTTATGCAGTATCTTCAGCTTCGAAGAGAGCTGATCTCGCTCCGCCTTGTCCGGTATCATCGTCTCGAGAGTCTTGTGCAGCCGCGCCATCGCGTCGTGATGGCTGGCTTTACGGGCGGCCATGTACTGTAAGCGTAACCACAACGTCAGTCAAGTACCGAAATTCCTATCGCCCATAACGCGCGGGTGTGTAGCTGCTGCGTTGCATATAGATATAATAAATCATCCAATATAATAAGTCAATAATACTATAAGAAAGTGATAAGTAATATATGTATATATATATATGTATATATATATATTTATTTATTTATTTAATACCTGCTCATATTCGACGCTTCCTGGCATGGGCGGTTTCTCCCCCTGGTGGCCGAGCTTGTGCAAATGTTTTAGCTTCTTCCCCTGGTGGGTGCGGTTGTGTAAATTGGTCGGCTTCTCCCCCTCGTGGCCGAGGATT